TGGGAAGTCTGTTATGGTTGTACCTGGCCTGGCAGTGGAATAGGAAGGCGAGAGTGAAGATAGGGGAGAGGCATCGGAGATTGGAGAGAGCAGAGGGGGTAGAAGAGTCATTAGGGAGAATCTTAGACTAATTGGGCCAGGAAGACGGTACGATTATCAATCGGGAGGTACTCCGGGCCCATTTGAGGTTGGTGGCCATGATTAAAATGAACAGTTGGTGGGGGTGTGTTTTTCTGCGACTGCTGTTGACCGAGTGGGCACAGGCATGGTGTAGACAAAGGAAGCATTGGATTTCACCAGGCAAATATGACCGTGCAAAGGGAATTGGAGATAACTCATACGAGAGTGATTATTTAGTGTATCCTTTTAGGACTTTTAATCAGCCTCAGACACATTCATTCTTAGGGTAGTTGACACTGAGGGCTGAGAGACATAGTAAAAGTCAAACTCGTGTCATGTAAACCTTGGTTTAAAATATACAAAGTCCTGGGGCGTCTGGGTGGCTCAGTTGGTTGAGCGTCTGACTTCAGCTCAGCACATGATCTCACGGTTCGTGAGTTCAAGCCCTGTGCTGGGCTCTCTGCGGTCAGCACAGAGCCCGCTTCAGATCCTCTCTTCGCCCTCCCTCTTTCCCTACCCCCGTTTGCACTCTCTCTCTCTCAAAAATAAGCAAACATTGAAAAAAAACCTTTAAAAAAAGTAAAATTTTACAAAAGACCTACTTAAAAAAAAAAGAAAGGAAGAAAAAGAAAGGAAAGTGGAGCGTCTGACTCTTGATCCCGGGTCGTGATCTCACGGTCATGAGTTCAAGCCCTGTGTGGTGCGTGGAGCCTACTTAAAACAATTAATTGATTAAATACAATTTACAGAGGACTTCTGCACACGGCAGGATATGAAAAAGGGGAGACGGTGCCGTTGGGTTGGTCGTAAAACCGGTACAGCTCCTTTGGGTTGAGGAGAAGGTCCCTTGTGTCCCCATGTTTCTCCTCTGTGCTTTGTGAAGTCACTGCCACAGTAGGTCCTCTTTTTTTTTTTTCATTCCCTCCTTTCTCTCTCTCTTCCCCTAAGTATTTCTCTTTAAAATATCTGAACTCTCCATCTGTGGTTTACTATTTTTTTAATCTTTATTTTTATTTTTTTTTTTTGATGTGTATTTTTATTTTTGACAGAGAGAGGCAGAGCATGAGCAGGGGAGGGGCAGAGAGAGAGGGAGACACGGAATCGGAAGCAGGCTCCAGGCTCTGAGCTGTCAGCACAGAGCCCGATGTGGGGCTCGAACTCACAAACTGTGAGATCGTGACCTGAGCCGAGATCGAGTCGGACGCTTAACCGACTGCACCACCCAGATGTCCCTTCCGTGTGTGGTTTAAAGTTGACCGTCATACCCCTTGTCCTTCTCTTGTCTTTGCTGCTGTTCCCTTTGTTTCGTTGTGGGATTTGGCTCACTGTTGGTTGAGCAGATGGGGAGGGAAGAGAATATGGGTGTGGCGGGTTAACTCAGTTCCCAGTGAGACCCAGTGGCCCTGTGAGCCCCAGCCCCCCACAGTGGAAGTGTGACTGACATCCCCCTGATGACCTGTGAGCTCTCCGCAAGTTAGAAGTGCGGAAACTGATGCTTGAGGTTACTTGCGTGATTTCTGCAGCAGTGAATTGTTATTACCTTCACGCACACACCCCCTTTGTTGACTCCCGACTCCCCACCCCCCTGCCCCCACGTAGGGAATGTTGACCATTAATGGGAGGAATTGTCCCTGATTCTACCAGTCGGTTTCATGTGCACAATGTGCCCCTTTCGGACCACGTAGGATCTCAATACTGTCCCAGAGGACACTCATTCAAAGTTTCTGTTCTTTCTTTGCAGCTTCTAGGTACAGATGTTGGTTCTAATTCTGGAACCGTTTAGAGGGACGCCCTGTGTTGCTGTTGGGTCACTAGAAAGCTGGAGGGGCCAGCTGCTTTTAAGCGTTGTTAAAGGTGTCTCTTCCGTCTCTGTCTTTAGATAGGGACAAGAGAGGGCTGGTTTGAGGAGGCCCCGCCGTCTGCTTTTGTGCTGAGCTTGAACCCTGGACTGAGGATCCCACATGCCCATCCTTGTGAGCATGTGTGCAGCCCGCCCTGCCTGGTTTGGGGGGGGGCTGATGCCCACATGGGGCCGCTGTGCTAGATCAGAGAGAAGCAGTTCATACCTGGGGTGTCGGGGTTGAGGTTGAGAGCCTGGGGCTGCCCTTGAGGATGGAAGGGACAGGCTTTGGCCATTGGGAGAAGTCTTCTCTGGCGTCCAGGAGTCCCCCAGTGCTCTCATTAGAGCTTTCTTTTTTGGTGTGTCAGAGATCTTTAATGCTTCCTATTAAAACACGAACACCTTTGAAAAGAAGGGGACTTCAGACCCTCTTGAACAACAAATACCGTGTAAAGAGTCCTTTTTTTTTTTAATGTTTATTTTTGAGAGAGAGCATAAATGGGGGAGGGGCAGAGAGCGAGGGAGACACCGAATCCGAAGCAGGCTCCAGGCCCCGAGCTGTCAGCACAGAGCCCGACGCGGGGCTCGAACCCACGAACCGTGAGATCACGACCTGAGCCGAAGTCGGACGCTCAACCGACTGAGCCACCCGGGCGCCCCTTAATGTAAATCACACAGAAACTATGCAAATATATTTCTTCACCTCGTTGGTGATCTCACATGCCTGAATGATGCCTGTGGTGAAACTCAACGGAGACTTGTTCAGAATCCTAGATCCCCCCCCCAAGACCACGGAGTCATGAGCTACTGGGAAATGCAGTTCCATAGTACCTGTCTTTCAGTGTCTAAGGCCAAGATACAGAAACGTTCATTACATTTCTCTACAGGAGAACGAGCCTTGGACATTTCGAGTCCGCTCCCTTACGTAATCGTTCTTAGCCGTGGAAAGTTGAAGTCACGAGCTTTAGAAAGTGTGTAGGTGTCCTTTGAGGTCATCCTTTTCCGAAAAGAAAGCCGGGCTGATGCGAGTTTGCCCTGCCTTTTTGCTCTGTCAACTTAAGAGTTACTGTGCTCCTGGGGCGCCTGGGTGGCGCAGTCGGTTAAGCGTCCGACTTCAGCCAGGTCACGATCTCGCGGTCCGTGAGTTCGAGCCCCGCATCGGGCTCTGGGCTGATGGCTCAGAGCCTGGAGCCTCTTTCCGATTCTCTGTCTCCCTCTCTCTGACCCTCCCCCGTTCATGCTCTGTCTCTCCCTGTCCCAAAAATAAATAAACGCTGAAAAAAATAAAATTAAAAAAAAAAAAAAAAAAAAAAAAGAGTTACTGTGCTCCTTACGAATAATGTTGTCTCCGTAGAGTAACTTCTACGTTTCGGAAGAATGCGTCATGGATCAGTGTTGGGAGTAATGGGAAAGTAAAGAGAGGCCCGGGAGCGAGGGAACCAGTCACAGTTGTTCGTAAGCCTTGTACACTCCCTCTGCGCGTGAATTATTCATTTTGCTGCCCTTGTGATAATAGCCACAGTGTTCCGTCTCTAAGGCTGTCTTGTGATATATCCCTTCTTGCGCTAAAAGGCTCCATATGATTTAGAAGCCAATTTGGCATACCACGCATACCATTCGAGAAGCATGTCGGGATCCTTCCTGCTACGAAAATGTCATGCATGCTTCAAATGACAAAGGTTGTCGCCAGCAGTGGTTTCGAGTACTTTGTAATTCTTCCAGAATCTTCAAAGCACTTTAATTCGAGGGTTCTCATTTTCAGTAAGAGAACTCGCTGAGATACTTGGCTCTGCCCTTTAATATCTAAATGTTGAATTGGAAATTGAGAATGGCCAAAACGTACGGTGAAGGCAGTGTGTGTGTGTGTGTGTGTGTGTGTGTGTGTGTGTGTTTAATCGTGGTTAAAAAAAAAAAAAGAACTCACATACCATAAAATGTGCCATTTTAGCCATTTTTAAAGGTATACGATACAGTAGTGCAATGGACCTGTAGAACCTTTTCATCTTGTAAAACCCAAAGTCTGTACCCATTAAACAGCCCCACCCCCCGCTTCCCCCGCCGCTCCCCCAGCCCCTGGCAACCAGCATTCTGCTTTCTGTTTCCAGGCGTTTGACTCCTTTAGACACCTTGTATAAATGGCATCCCACCGTATTTGCCTTCTTGAGACTGGCTTATGTCACTTAGCGTAATGCCCTCGAGGTTCATCCAGGTCGTAGCATGTGATAGGACGTCCTCCTTTTTTTTTTTTTTTAAGGCTGAATAATATTCCGTTGCCTGCCTGTACTCCATCTTATGTGTCCATTCGTCCGCGAAGGTAGCGTATCCTGTTTTGTAAAGTGCTCTTCTGAAAGCTTTTCTTGCGAGTGAAAGCAACCGCACCACGGAGACCGTGGAAAAATCCAGTCTGAGCCCCTCGTGCTGAGAGAGATCAGACTTCCGGTGATGTTTTGTATCAGCTTTTTATACTGGCAAAACTTGGCATTTCCTCAACTGAAACTCCAGTGTAAGAGGTTCAGGCTCACACTCCGCCCCCCCCCCCCCCCCCCCCCCCCGGCCCCCCCCACACCCCTCTTAGCATTAAAGTCCCTCAGATTGGCCGTTTTAGGGGATGGTGCGCCTGGGAAGCAAGACAGTGGAGAGCGTGTGATGAACATGGACGTTTTCTCCTCAAGTTGTGCTTCCCTCCCAAGGAATCTTCTAGAGGGAAGAGATAAGGGGAAAGGGGCGGGGTGGGAAGGCAGCCGTTGCAGCAGTTGCGAAGATGGATGACGTATGAGCTCATTAGGGTGGATAATGGGTTTTCTCACCGGGCTCTGGAGTTTTCTCACACACGGGGCCTCTCTGTGGATTCCAGCCCCCGACTCGGAGTTGAAGCAGCTCTGGCTCCAGCGAAAGCACACACACACAGTGGGCTCCGTGGTCTGGGTTTGGTCTAAATGTGGCCCGAGCGCCAGAAAGGCAAAAGGTTTGACTTGAAGATGGAACACATGGTTTGGGAGACTGAATCCTGTAGCGTTACTCTCGCCTTTTCTTGACCTAGGGTCTTCCTCTGAGCCAACGGAGGAGGCAGATTGGGGAGGCCTGATGTGGACGGTGGCGGGCCTCCTTGTTCTTCCAGAAGCCGTAGTGGCAGCCGTGTCCTGTCTTTCAGAGGTATGAGCTGTGAGGGTGAGCCTTTCCTTGACTATTCTTGGGGTAAGGGTGAGGGAGGAGCAACAGAGGGTGGGAGCCCCTCTTTTCCTTCTCCCTGCAGGAGTGAGTGATCTCCATTCTGTCCCGGAAAATGGCCGCCCCCATCCCCCGGCCCACCCTAAGGCGGGCCTTGCCCGGCTCTGTGGCTGTTTTTCCTCCCAGGAAAGCCCAGCAGGGTGCCGTGGGGTGGGTGAGGGCAGGAGGATTGCCCGTGGCCGTGCCCAACAGCTTGAAGGAGAGACCTGAGGTGTCTGGGGGAAATGCCTGTGTGCTTGGAATGTGACTCCCTGGGGCTCCCCAACCCTCAGGCGCTTCAGCAACGGAGGCCGAGTATGGGGTGAACAGGGCAAGGGGGGAGGGGGATTGAGGGGCCAGGGATGCACAGGTAACTGCCACGTGTCAGGGACAGTCAGCTGACTGACTTTCAGGCACGAGTCGGTGAGGGCCCTGACAGATCCGTGTGCCTCATAGCAAGGGATCGTTCTTTTTAGGAGGCAGATGAGAAGGGAGGCAAGGACTTTCTGCCTCGCGGATGACCGTTCGGAGACCCAAAGAAAAACTTTTCAAAGATTTTTGGCAAGTGGCTTCTAAAGATAAGTTTACAGTGTGGGTTTCGTCTCCAAACATTTTTTTTTTTAATTTTTTAAAATGTTTACTTATTTTTGGTAAAGAGAGAGACAGAGCATGAGCAGAGGAGGGTAGGGAGAGAGAGGGAGGCACAGAATCCGAAGCAGGCTCCAGGCTCCGAGCTGTCGGCCCAGAGCCCGACGCGGGGCTCGAACCCACAAACTGCGAGATCATGACCCGAGCCGAAGTCGGAGGCCTAACCCACTGAGCCACCCAAGCGCCCCTCCCAAAATTTTTCTTTCTTTCTTTTTTTTTTTTTTATGAAAAACTCCCAAGTCTACAGCAAAGCGGAAAGAGTTTTGGAGTGGGCACACATAGATGCCTACCACCTGGATTAGTAGCATCTTAAGATACTTGCTTTTTCAAATACCTAACCATCTAGTTGCTCGTCTAGCCATCCATGAGCCCATCTTATTTTCCGATGTGGCAAAAAAAACAAAAAACAAAAACCACTTTTCCCCAAATGCTTCTGCATTAGTAGTTCAGTGTTTGTTTTTCAAAGGCTTTGTAGGTAAAATCTGCACGCGAGGAAACGCACAGATCGGAAGCGTAGGGTGCGGTCTTTTCCATCATTTTGTCAGATGTTACCAAACCAAGCCTCTGGATCTTGTCGCAGAATTTCTATCAATTATTCAGGAAGTGCAGTTTTATTTTTTTTTATTTTTTATTTTTTTTCAACGTTTATTTATTTTTGGGACAGAGAGAGACAGAGCATGAACGGGGGAGGGGCAGAGAGAGAGCGGGAGACACAGAATCGGAAACAGGCTCCAGGCTCCGAGCCGTCAGCCCAGAGCCCGACGCGGGGCTCGAACTCACGGACCGCGAGATCGTGACCTGGCTGAAGTCGGACGCTCAACCGACTGCGCCACCCAGGCGCCCCAGGAAGTGCAGTTTTAAAAGCCGTTGGGAATGAGACCGTATGAGGAGCATGCTGTAAAGATTCTGTTCGCTGTAACATGAAGTTTGTGCCTTTACCACCCTGGCCTTTCTCTTAGTTCTTTTCCCCTCTCCACTCCCTTTCTCCTCCCCACCCCCTCCCCGCCAGGAGGGGGGAGGTGGTAAGAAAGCAGAGTGGTTGATTGAAGATTTTTTTAAAATTTTACTTCGATACCTTTATGAGGCATTCTTTTTTTTTTTTTTTTTTATTTGAGGGAGGAAGGGGACAAGGGCAAAGGGAGAGAGAGAGAGAGAGAGAGAGAGAGACAGAGCACAAGCAGGGGAGGGGCAGAGAGAGAGGGAGGGAGGCACAGAATCCGAAGCAGGCCCCAGGCTCCGAGCTGTCAGCACCGGAGCCTGATGTCGGGCTCGAATTCCCGAACCGCGAGATCGTGACCTGGGCTGAAGTCAGACACACCTTCTAGAAGGAGCGTACCGTTTACTCGGGAAGAGAGGATGGAGGTATGTGGTAGGTCGTGAAGAAGCAGGATATGGTAAGCGTTGGAAGCGTTCCAAGAGCAAGCAGTGGCTGGCAGCCAGCGATTAGGGAAGGTTCTGGAGGGGTCTCTGCTTTGAGGTGGTTCTGTGTGGAGGGAGAGGAAAAGTGGAGAGGGCTTTCAAGGTCCCTGTGGCCTGCTCACAGCAGGGACGCTTTGGCCTTCAGTCCAGCAGAACTGATGGCCGATTCGAGGAGGTCTTGACCGATCATGTTGAAGAGGTAACTTGTCACGATTGTGACGGGCCGTAAGTGACCGGTCCTTTGGAAAGGCCAGCACGGTCTCTGGTGTTCCCTGGATTATTTTCCATTTCTCCCCTGTGGTTAGCAGAAATCCTACTCTTTGATTTTTTTTTTTTTCTTTTGGTCGGGAGAACGAATGGTATCCGTTTCTCGATCCATGGTTTGAAGAAGAAACTTTTCATCTGAAGGTTTAAAGGCGAGGGTCCCCTTTTCACGAGAAGAATGAAGAGTTGTACTCCTTTTATTAATGGGGACTTGGTCACTGTTGAAACCACAAACAAACAAAAAAGGCCCAGCAGCATTTCTTGCATATAGTTACTGGGCTCCTTAAACATTGCCAAATACCGGAGGGAAAGGAAAATCAGAAAAGTTTGGGGGGGGGGGGTTGGTGGTTTAACAAATATAGTGACTAACTCCTTGTGCTGACTAATGCCAGTGAACTCATAATGAGTAACAATAGTGAATTTAGAAGGGAGATTAAATAGAACAGCTATTTAAAGGTTGCTTTAATTCAAAAGACAGCCGAGTTGGTCACACAAGTCAGGATTCCCTTTGGGAAATTCAGAAGTAGTTCATTTCACCCCTACAAGGAAGGTTCTGTCTCTCTCCTTTATCGAAAGGAGTCCTCTTAGGGTGGTTAGAGATCAGGTCTGTCAAGGGTGGCTCCTTTTCCACTCGTCTCTTGGGGCGGGGGGATTCTTGGCGGATGATCTTGCTTGTGCTTTTGTGTTGGAGAAGTAACATAGGTGGCCGCCGATAAGCCAGAACAACCAATCGATGTGAAAAAACCAACCAACCAACCAACAAACAAACAAAACTTGGTTGGTGATGCCCGTGAGCTGGAAACACAAGGTTTGCTTGAGTTTATTTTCTCAGTTTTTGTTGCTGACCGTGGCATACAAAGAGAGGAACTGCCCGACCGTCCTTTTCGTATCTGTAAATTTTTTCAATTGAATATTTTTAAAAATGAAGATTATAAAATTGAGCAACAGTGCAGCGGACCAAAAGGTACAAACATGGGAAAGTCTCTTGTGGAATTTGCAATGATCTGAGTGTTGACCGGAAAATGGTTTGTTGTTGTTTTTTTTCCATCCTTGTTGAAAATATTTAAAAAATAGATTTTTTCAGTTTATTTTTTGGGAGAGAGAGGGAGGGAGAGCAGGGGAGGGGCAGAGAGAGAGGTAGAGCGAGAATCCCAAGCAGGCTCCGCACTGTCAGTGCAGAGCCTGAAATGGGGCTCGAACCCACGAACTATGAGATCGTGACCTGAGCCGAAATCCAGAGTCGGACGCCTAACCGACTGAGCCACCGAGGCACCCCGAAAATATTTTTAAATGTTCATTTTCCTTGGAACTCCTTTTTCCCAACTTCACTTGACCCTGAGACAGATAAGGGGACTTGTCATTTCCTGTCACACCATCTGTCGTATTTTTATTGATGCAGATTAGGGAACCGGTCTCTAAGTCCCCATTAGACTCCAGCCCGGTGCCCAGCATGTAGTAGGTACTTACTAGTTGATCAAAGAAAAAAGGTAATCACATTAAAGATGGATTTTTCTAGATGTGTTTTGGGGATGATGATGTCGTAGATGATTTTATCTTGAAAAACATATCACACTCATCTAAACCTGCGACATGACTGCATATTCACCTTTTAGCTAAAATCTTTACATGAGTTTATTTTCCCATTGCTTTTTCTTTTTGTAAGTTTATTCATTTTTTAGTAATCTCTACACCCACCGTGGGGCTTGAACTCACAACCCCGAGATCAGGAGTCCCAAGCTCTACCGACTGAGCCCGGCAGGCGCCCCTCGTATTGTTTTTTTCTGTTACATTTTGTTTTCTCTCAGTATTTGGGATTTCCAGGCACTTAGGTCACTCTTCAATTTTATATTGTGTATGTGTTGAGAACATAATAATATTATAATTCTATATAAATAATTTTCCCCCTGTAGTATGATAAATAAGAAAATTCTCTCAAAATGCATGAATTTGAATGGCATGAATAGAGAAGACAAAGCCTCGTTTCCTTGGTGAAGATATTATCTGAAGGTCTTTGAACAATTTATTGAATGGGGTATTTCTTTAACGAAATCCAAGTCCATAGGCAAGTTCATGAGCAATTTTGCTTTTTTTAAAGAAATCTAATGGCTTGGAAATAATGAATTGAAATTCTTATTAAAGCATATGAGTTTTTTCTCAGTTTAATTTCTTCAACATGAAGAAGCCAACATTTGCATGTAAAGCTGGAGGTAATTTGAGTGATTTTGCCTTCAATTCAGCGGACTTTTTTCAGGGTTCGAGGTGCTGAGGGCAGACTCCCAAAATACCCTTCCCCCCCCAAACTGGTGGTTAATTTAGATGAAGTTTTAGAGCGCAAGAAAAAGCACACATACTGTAGAACTTGGTGTGGTAGTTAAGGAACATTTCTCGTCAAAATTTGGCTTTCACAATCAGAGGAAACAGTTGTTAAAAGGAAATCGTTTGTAAGATCCAATTTGGTCATTGTCTTCTACCCTTCATAGACCTTGTTGCTTATAGGAGAGTGAGAGATGAATAGAGAGAGGGATTTCTATGGACATTTAATTAAAGAATTGCCTCCAGCTTTTTGCGTGCCACCTTAACCTAAACTGGGATCGTCTCCTGTTTTCCTGTCTTCTGGTTGGGGCTGGGGCCAGGTGCTAGAAGTATGGTCTCTCCTGTAGAATCACGATTTCCAGTTCGTTCGGATGTACTATAAATGTTCATTCCGTACCATTCAGAGATCGAATGCTCTCCAATCTTATCCGATCCACAGCTTGGGAAATAGGTTCGTGAACAGCATGACTCGATTTTCATTTTGACATGTAAGCGCCCCCAAAGGCGTTTAATCCCTTCTTTTCTTTTTCTTTTTTAAATTGTCTTGTTTTTTACATTTTATTTATTTTTGAGAGAGAAAGAGAGGACACGCGAGCGCCAGCGGGAGAGGGGCAGAGAGAGAGGGGGAGACAGAATCTGAAGCAGGCTCCGGGCTCCGAGCCGCCAGCACAGAGCCCGACGTGTGGGGCTCGAACTCACAAACCAGGAGATCGTGACCGGAGCTGAAGTCGGACGCTTAACCGACTGAGCTACCCAGGCACCCC